AAAAACCACACGAACAACTCCACTCGCCTAGCAGAATGCAGCATTTCCTGGAGGGCATACCGCCCTTTTAAAGAAGGGAAAGTTTTGTTCTCATAGAACTTCAGATCAGGTTACCAGTCTCTGTGAGCTCTGAGAACTGTCAGAGACCCCCAAAATACCAAAAGTTTGGAAGAGCAAGTTTTTAAAAATTTTTCAAGGCAGGAATAATTCCACAGATTACTGAGCTGAAACCTGACCTTGGGAAACACCTGGGAATCAGTGTTTCAAGGGCTGATGTGTGAGTGTCTACAAGAAGGATGCTGTACAACGTGCCTAACTGCCACTGGAAGTGGGAATTGTGACCCCAGGCCCCGCCTTCCCCTGACTGGACACAGTCCTGCTAACGCGCACAATCGCAGGGCATGATGTAAGTGGGTAACCACTAAGCTTACCACAACGAAAGGGAGGTGCCAGGGTTCTTTTTATTTGTAACAGCTATGCTCTGATTAAGAGAATTCAGTCACACCTTTTAACAAAAAGAATATTTAAAACTGTTAACCAAGATTAAAATTCTAAGTTAGGTGTATTTGTTTCCTAAGGCTTCAATAACATAGTGCCATGAATTACATGTCTTAAAGAACAGAAATTACTTTTTTCACAGTAAATTACCAATAGTGCTAGGGATTAGACAACCAGGATCAAGAAGTCAGTAGTGTTTCCTCCTTTTGAAGAGTGGTAGGTAGAATCTGTCCCATGCCTCTCTCCTACTCTCCTCGCTTCTGGTGTCTTCTTACCATCTTGAGTCCTCCTTGGTTTGCAGATATATCACCCTGACCTTTACCTTCAGTTTCACATGGCTTCGCCCCAAATGGAGAACCATCTCTGTTGCCAAATTTCCTCTTTCTATAAGAACACTCACAGTGGATTAGGACCCACCCTAATGATCTCATCTTAACTAGATTTGCAGACCCCTTTCCAAATAAGTCCACGTTCACAGGTTTAGGAAATGGGACTTAACATTTTAAGTGGACATGATTTAGCACGTAATGCTCAGTCACCTAAAGTGCAGAAAGTTTTCACAGAGGTGGTAAATGTAAGTGGGAGGAGCTTCCACCTCTTGGGCTGGATAAGCACAAAGAAGCTTGGAAAAGGAGCCCCAAGGAGCTGAAACACAGACACCTGGGGTCACAAGGAAGGTGCAATGAGGAGTGCTGGAGAAAGTCTAAATGCTGAGCACATTCCAAACAAGAACCAACTGTACCTGCTACGGTGAACACGTGTCCCAGGGGCACTGCTCAGAGAGCTGCTAGAGGAGCAAGCCCATCTGCCTCTCTCAGCGTCCAGCGCCCCCTGTCGGCAAAACCTGCAGCGGGGGAGGGTGCAGAACCCCAGCCCCAGAATCATACAGCAAAGTACAAAAAAGTGGGTTACAGCTGAGAAACAGCATAATTACCAGTTGCCATGGTTTTTAACTTGATTGAGTCAGAATCAGCAAGTGTACAGTAAAAAGAAGAGAAAACAGTCAGTGGTGCTCCATTGCCCCATAGGTCAAAAAATTCCCAGATTTGAACAGTTGTTGGTATCTACATTTTTGCCTTACTTTATCTATAAAATGGGCAGGATAATAAGAATCTCATGGAGTTGTGGTAGGGACATATGTAAAGTGTTACAGAAGTCAGTTTATCACAGACTGGAAGTTCAGGACTAAATATTAGCCTTTTATTTATTACTACATTATTCAATTTGAAAATCAATAATTCAAGTATTAACAACATACTTCTGGGCCTATATCACCCTATCCAGGGAATTAACTTAATCCTAAGGAAATCGTGGACCAGGTGTTACCCTACCATACGTAGGAAGAGCTTGTTTATGTCTCTCAGGTAAGCCACAAGCTCTGAAGAGTTAAGGAAATACTTGTGTGTTCACTGCCAGCATAGCATCTTCAACTAAATAAGAACTTACTTTACTGTTTCATAAACTAAAATCAAGTACTTAACTTTCCATTAACACTTAGCATGCTATGGCTGAAGACTGCTTCTAGAGCTAAAAAAATTTTTGAAAAAATTTCACAGGAGAAGCAAAAATGAAAAGACCAGGATGGCAAACAGGTTTCATCACTGTCTACTGTTACTTGTAGCGACCTGGAACGCTGAGTGGAAGAGTGTGAGGTTCCACCTGGGTTTAGAGGCAAAGACTGACCTTACCCCTCTGTAACCTCTGCCAAGGCATGGGGGTGATGAGGGGTGGTACTCCATCTCTCTCTTGGTTTTAGCAATGTAGGAAGAGTATGGCTCTCAATAGTAAAACTGAATTCAAAATCTCATTCTGTCTTCAAAGCTGAGAATGGAGGCAATAAGAGCTAAAATGGTTATTTTGATGATTAAATCGTGGAAAAATGAAAAATTTCTACAATCTTTACCGAACTCAATAAGTGTTAGTTGTTCCTTTTCCTATGAGTAATTCGACAACCGTTTATGACGAAATTACACTGAGGAGTATAACTATGTTCATATTTGACATATTGCATAATGCATTTGATTAGCTATATAAAAGGTTGTCATTGTGCAATACATTTTATTAGGAAATGGTCAACACATGTATAATTCATTCATGGTATAACAGAGTATGTATAGGCATGTCATCCACCCCAAATTTAAATAGAACTATTTTTGATAAATGAGTGAATACAGGTAACATTTGGCTTCTCTGCACATATAATTACTTTGGCATCTACAGATAAAATGGATTAAATGTGATTTGTTTGATTTTTGTTAAGGAAAAAAAATTTTTTTTTACCTTTACCAAAAAGGAGGGAATAAAATGCAATTATTTTCCATTGCCTGAGAAACAAAAGGAACAATTTCATGGACAAAAATAAGTACCTTTCATGGGCTGAGATTTTTTTTAGACTAGGCTGTTTTGTTCTTTTGTGAAAAGGTCAGCAACCATGATTAAGTTTCATCATTAGGAGAAATTCATGAATTTCATGTAGTTCTTTAATGCAGCTGCTCCAGACAGTGTAGTTTCCTTCCTTGGAATTTTCTAATATTGTTCTTCTCCAAGGCCTTCACAGAAACTAATCTCAGTTTATACTTTCAAAACATGTGGTGAACATATAAATGTTTTGAACATGGGTAATTCTTGGAAGTTCAATTTTCTCTTTTTGGCTTCGTTGCTTAAATAGGTAGCACCACCTAGTGGCTAAATAAAATTATTGAAATGTTACTGTCGCTTAAAAATACATTCAACAGCAGAAACAGCTCTTATTTTTTTTACATTAAAGTGATTCATTATAAGATTTAAAGCTTCCTTATCTTAATTCTAATTTCAACAACAGACTAACCACGAAACCAAAACAAATTTTATCCTTTCCCAAGTATACTTCTTTTTCTTCAATGTCTTTCAATACTCTTGTAAAGGTCATTTGAATAGTTATAGCATTGTGATCGTTAAAAATGAAATGTAAAGAACTTTTGAGAAATTTAGCCTCATAAGGCATTTTAATTCACTCATTAAAATGATTTTACTGTGCTTTTCTTTTAAAGTAGTCTCATTTGTAAGGAACTTTAGTCCAGGCAGTTTAAAATTAACATTACTCATAAAACACCACCAGAATTAATAAGACTTATTTGGAGAAAGGTAATTGTTACACTATAATTATGATTTTAAAACCCCATATTGAACTTGAAAAGAGGCATTTGATTCAGAATGTAGCGCTGCCGCCCCCTTGTGGTTTAAAATGCATCTTTCCCTCTGGAAATACAATAATAGCATCCAAAGAAATGTCGTGGTATTTTCAAGAGAAAATTGATATAAACTATTTTTACATTTGTCCAGGGAAATGGTAACTAAATGTTCCACTAAGTACCACAGATGAGAATTGGACTGCCTTCTTAATTTAATAATAGGATGAATAGAAAGTTAGTGATTAACTTATTTTAACTATTTGTTGAATACATTTAACTACAAAAAATACCTCTTCGTGTAACTCTGGGTATGCTTCCATGAAATATATTTTGTAAATACCACCTTTTAACTCAAATTAGTGTAATTTCTGACTCTCCAAATGATTGGTAAATAATAAACTGTGTTCAAATTTCTCTAAAAATAAATCCTTCACCTTCTGTTTTTTTCTGAGATGAGTGCGGGAGCTTTTTCCAAGGCGCAGAACATGCATTTACCTTGCTAAAACACTCTGGCCCTTGCGATTGTGGCACTGAATGGAAAACAAGCTTTATACACACATTCCAAATGGAGGAGCCAAGCGTTTCCTCCGTGTCTTGGCTCTGCTGCTCTGCTGCTAGAGATGAATGGTGCTTTTCAGACTTCTCCACAGGAACAGAGCTAATTCTCCAAGAGCCGCGCTGGCTCTGTGTTTACACCTCTCACCTTGGATTGTGAACGTTAGCATGGATTAAAGGAAAACAAGAAGGAAACAAAGGGATGATTCTGCCTTCGCCTTACACTCCAGGCACGGTAGGGCAAGAGTGTATTTCCCTTCTCCACCTGAAATTTCCTTTGGCTACTCCTTCTCTACCCACAATGCACTTCCACTTACAAAACAGTATTTTGTCATTGTCGCAGAACAGCAACTAAAACAACCACTTAGGTCTGCTTTGACTAGAAAAAGAAGCAAGCAGCAGACAGCCCAAAGGGCGCTTGGCTGGGGTCTGATCGCACCCTGGCGTCGCCCCTAGGCCCCCGGCCTCCTGTGCTGCGTCCCCTCGAGGGCATCACCACGTGCTCTGCTTATGAGTGGGCATTCCCTTCCCGTCGTTGTTTCCTGGAGCAATGCCAATGTTTCACTGCAGGAAGAAGCCAGCGGGCCGCAGGATAGGGACAGAGCAACTGCACAGTTGCAGGATACTCTGAGGAGACCCCACTGCCGAGGCCCTCGGGTCCGACCTGGAAGAGACCGACCGTCTCTTCAAAGCCGGGCCGGGCCTGAGACAGCCCGCCCGGAATCATATGCGGGTCTCAGTCACGCGCTGAAGACGTTTCTGCTTGATCCTCCCTACCTTGCTCTCAAGTCTGCTGAACACTCTTGGGGCTCGATAGCTTCCCGCTTGGTGGTCCTCCTGCGCATGCTCCTAAAGGCACAGTGACCCGGAAGCAGAAATCACTGAGCCTGTCCTATCCGGAAGTGTTCCTGTGGAGCCACTATTTCGGGGTCCAAAGACTTCGGCAACCTGCCAAGACCTTGATGCACCTGCGTTTATGGAGTTCACCTGGCCCCTTTCAGGAAGGGCCTGCTGGACCCCAGGAGATTGGGGACCGGACCCAGACACTCCCTTTGGGAAGTCCCACTCACAGTGCTCCCGGAAGTGCTCACCAGAATTTCCTCCCAATCCTGGGGGTTGTGGAAAGTGTTTAAACCGCATTAGGGATTGAACGTTTAATATTGTAACTCACTATTCTTCAAACATTTTTTGAAATTCTTTAGTCTAACAGGAAAGTTACCAGAAGAGTACAGTTTCAGTATTACTTTCACGCAGGTTGCCTTCACAGTAAAGTCTTGGGTAAGGGCAGTGCGGTTGTACAAACTAAGAAAGAGACATTGGTGTAATACTGTCAGCTGGGCTAGGACACAAACTACAGAATGCAACTGGCTGTCACCACTTATTCTGCTTTTTCTTCTGTTCTGGAATCCAACCCATATTGCATTTAGTTTCCGTGTGTTCCTAGTGTCTTCCAATCAGTGACTGTTCCATTGTTTGTCCTTACCTTTAGTGGCTTTGGAGAGTACTGGTCAGGTACTTTGTAGGACATCACTCAGTTTAAGTTTGCAAGTATTTTCTCATGGATTGAGGACTGTTTTGGCAAAAACACCATGAGCTAAAGCTCCCTTCTTATTGCTGAGGTATATAATGCTGTTACTTGATTGATGATGTTAACTTGACTTGGTTAAGAAGGTGCTAGTGGGGTTTGCTAACTGTAGTGGTGCTACTATTCCCTTTGTTTTGTTTCTGTGGTACTGAGGTTTGAATCCAAGGCCTCATGCATGCTAGACAAGCACCCTTCCCCTGAGCTACACTCCAACCCTTACACTGTTCCCTTTGTAATTTATAAATATCTTTGGGGAGATCCTTTGCTGCTATGCAAATGTCCTGCTGTTTTCCTCAAACTTTTGTTCACTAATTTTAACATCGTGCCTACAACAATTCTTACTATGTTATAGTAAAAGTGCTTTTTCTATTTCCAGCGTTCCTAATTGATATTATTTTGTAAAGGTGATCCACCCTTCTTCTGTTTTATTGATTCAATTATGTATTAGCACTTTATTTTTTTTTAGCACTGTTCTTACTATGCCACCACAGGTGTTCCAGGCTGATCTTGTACTTTTCCTGACCCAAGGTATGAATTAACCACTCTCAGTAACAGAGATATATATATCTAATATATCTAATATAGTTATATGCATACCAACATGTGCTAGCATACATATAAGCATCTATTTATATCCTTATCTATTTACATATGTATACACACAAACACTACATGTACATGTGAATAAGTGGATATAAGATGATGACAAGTTCATCTTGATTTTTCTTACAATCAAGTGTTTTTTGATTCATTCTATCTTCTCCTCTCCTGAGTCATATATATATATTTATATTTATATATATATTTATATAAACATATATATAAACATATTATATATATACATATATAAACATATATAAAAACATATTTATATAAACATATATAAATATATATATTTATATTATATATAAAAACAAAGAAAACTCTGGCTCTCCTTATTAACAATATATTTACTTATATTTCAAAATCTGCTTCAAAGAAAAAGTAGTTTCAAGATTGGTTAGGCATAGCTCTGTAAGAAACAAATATCTTAGCTAAACATAGTATTTGTGGGGTTTTTTTGTCTTTAGTTTTATAGTATGCAGTCCAAATGCTCTTACCCCAAATAACTTAGGCTTACTCTTTCCTCCCTAGTCCTTTAATTAGTGTTGCCATTCATTTTTTAATGGAAAGTTCATTTATTGTAAATTGTATTCACTATATTTTTGCCACACATTGTCATTTTTTAAAAATTTCATGCAGTACAATGAACTTTTTTCCCTTTTAAAAATTAGTGCTTTTTTGTGATACATAATAGTTACATTAGTTTTGGAGAAATTGGTACGATACATCTTGACTATTTTTGATCCCTTTTTCTCCTGCCCCTTTACCTCCTTCTTGTGATAAAAACTTTGTAGAGACAATTCTGTGTTGTCCATTTACCACAAAAGTGATGGGATAGAACAGTTCCATTATTCTAATAATTTCTTTATATTTCTCCATTGTGGTTGACTAATCTTTCACTTTCAGTGCTGTGGGCCACTGGATTATCTTTGTTCACAAGAACTTTGCCTTTTCTAGAATGGTGTAAAAATTAAGTTTTGTCACAATCTGTAGCCTTTTCGGTGTAGCTATTTAAAATTAGCGAAATACCTTAGTATTCATTTATTTTTTAAGGTGATAAATAGTATCTCATTTTTCATTGTGTAGTTGTGCCACCATTTACTTATGCACTCACCAACTGAGCCGTGCCTAGACTCTTTCTGAATTTGGGCAATTACGAGTAAATCTACTGTAAACATTTAGGTCCAGGTTTTTGAATGAGGTTTCTTTCATTTGTATGAATTTCTATAGAGGGAACTGCTGGGTCAGATGGTGATCATATGTGTTTAACTTCATAGAGAAAAAGGCCTGCCATTGCTGAATCATTTTATTCTCCTATGAACAATGTATGTAGTTCCAGTTACTCTGCAGTTTTACCAGCATTTGTTATTTAACATATTTTGGTCATTAGAACAGATGTACAGCAATTTTACATTGCAATTTTAACTTGTATCATCTAGCGATAATTCCTATTTCCCTAATGACATTGAGGATCTTTTCATATATGTACGCCTTGACTATCTTCTTTGATGACATGTACCTGCTCTCATCTGCTCATTTTCAACTGGATTTTAAAATTTTTCTTATAACTGAGTTGTAAGAATTGTTTATATATTCTGCATAGACATGCTGTGTTGGAAATGTGATTTTAAAATACTTCTTTGCAGTACTTGGCTTGTATTTTCATTCACTTATAATAAATTTCTATAATAAATGCATTTATTTTGATAAAGTCCAACTTATAATTTTTTATCTTATATATTATATTTTGGTGTCACAGTTAAAATTTTTGCCTAGCCAAAGTCATAAATATTTTCTCCTTTATTTTCTTATAAAATTTAATAATTTTTGTTTTTATATTCAAGTCTTCAGTCCATTTTTCAATGCTTTTGCATATATGGTGCACATAATGAACTGAAGCTTTTTGCATAATTGGGTGTGTGGATGTGTAATATTCAGTAGCATGCATTGAAGAGATAGTGCTTTCTCCACTGGCTGCCTTTGCTCCATTGTGGAAAATCAGCTCCATAGTTATACGTAGTTGCAGTCATCCTGCATTAATCTTACAGAGGAGTATTACAATTTCATGTTGTTGTATTTTGCTTAGCTAGTACTCTGATTTTAGTAGAAAATACTACAATGTAAAATAGTGCAATGTATTTACACTCTTTCAGGTAATTTTTTGCTTAATAAATTCATCTGGGATAAATTTTACCACGAAAGGGAGTTTCATGTGTGAGGGGGATTCTATTATGAAAAATTTTCATAACCAACTAACAATTACTTTGCTCTTCAGTCTGTTCAACAAAAGTATTTTGCGCCCTTAGAATTCAGAAGAAACTAGCGATAGAGCTGCTGTTCATGAACTGATGGTGTTCCAACCTGGCCGGGAGCACATGCGCGCCCTCCAGTGGCCAAGCACGCATCCAAACACACGTCTCTGCTTCCCGGTGCTCGTGTTCACAGATGCACAATCTCGGGCTTCAGGAAAAGAAGTCGGTGGTTTGGAGTGAGCAGCACAGACCTGGCAAAACTCAAAAATCTCCCAAAACTGTGCTTGGGAATTGAGGCTGGGTCCAAAGCCAGTAGAGGGGCTGTGCAGGGGCCAAGGGTGGCATGAGGTCCCGGTACGCCCCTCCCCCTCCCCCGAGTGAACCCCCCAGGTCATACAAGGCTGCTGTCGCAGTGGGGTTCTGTCTGCAGTCCTTTCAGTATGACCTACAGAGGGGTGGCCATCCTATGGCACGCACGTGTTTTTCTTTTAAGACAAAAGGTGCTAATGTATGAGTTGTTTATTGTAAACTGAAATCTCAGTATTCAGGTTTAACGGCGGTGTCGGCACTTCACAATGAATAAGTGGTTTTGAGTTGCCGTTTGGGCACTCGTCTCTAAAAGGTTCGCCATCACCGAAAGGGTCACTGAAATCCAGCAGGGGGCACGCGCCGCTTTGACAATCAGAGAAGAAAACAAACATTTTTCTGTTAGGGGAGAAAAAGAATTTTTCTTTAAAAGCCACTTGGGGATTGACTCATCTTTAAAAATTTTTAAATTTATCTTTTATGTTCTGCCTTTTCTCTGTTAATTATGAAAAATGTCATTTGGGTGGTAGTCCATGTTTTCACATATATAACCTTCATCTATAAAATCTGTACGAAGAGGACCAGAGGTCATTGTGAAAGTGAAAAAAATATTTAAGAGCTCTCTTAAGGAAACTCCAGCCATTTTCCACAGCCCCTCCTACTGAGGTCTACTTCTTTCATTTTATTTCTGATGGGAGAAATAAAATGGGATCTTTATTAAGGTCTCCTTCGAATAATGAAGCTACATTTGACATATTTTCTTTTACTGATAAAATGTATTATTTGTGAGCAGAACTTAAAACACCTAAGCCAAGAGGTTTCTAGAGTTTATTTTCTGCTTCCAAAATAGTTTTCCTTCTTTTTCTAGAGAAATCAGCCTCTAGGAATTTTTGTTTTGTGTTGCCTGGTGCAACTTTGCATTTGCTGGAAAATCCCCTTTGAGAGGAGTAAAGCCTGCAGTGTCTGGATGATTTGCCTGAAATGGTCAGTGCTAGTAGATGCGGAGTAGGTGGACTGCTGACTCTGCCCTGGTTCACCAGTGCTGATATTGACCAAGGTCCTCCTGTTGGGCTCTGGGTGTCAGTGATT